CTGGCTGTGGGTCAAAAGTAGGCACCCAGAATGGAACCGGGCACATGGAAACGTTTTAGCTTGGGTGTGTTGAGGGGGTACCTTTTGTTTGGGCTTGGTAAAGGGGAACTGAAAAAGGAAACCCAAAGGGAAAGCCGAAACGCGACATGTTTGTGTGCCCCCCCCAAAAAACGCCCCAATTTTCAGGTGGAACCAACGCGAATTGCGAAGGAAACCAAAAGAGAAACCGGAACGCAAACCGGAACGCGCCATTTTGTGGGTTTTCTAAACAACTGATCCCTCCCTTTTTTTTGGATGGAAAATGATGGAAGCAAACGGTTGAAACCGAATTTCGGGGGAAAACACAAAATTTGGACACCGCTGCCAGCTGCCATTGTGGTCTTAAAAACGACCTATCCGCGACGCAAAAACAAAAAAAAAGTGAATCCCTCAACTTGGGATCCCAGGAATCCGCTTCGCGAGTAGGCAACCAACAAATTATCGATGGAACAAATCTGCAGGGTTCCCTGGGATGCCTGCAAAACCAAGAACATGGAATCCCTGGGTTGTTGTTGGGCTATTATCAATAAGAGGATTCCTTTGTCTAAGAAGCCAGCAACCTAGAAAACCCCAATCCTCCAACTATCATTTCAACCTCTCCTACAACCATGTGCTTTTTGGCCGTGATTGAGTGTGTTTTTCATCGCACCCTTTTCAAGGTTGGCTTCAAAGGAACCCAGCAGAAAGCCACCTGCTCGGTTTTTTCTCTTTTGGGGTCCACTTTTGACGCCTACCCTGAGCCCTTGGCTGTTCCGTGCCTGGTTGCTCTGGTACCCTTTCCGATGATGAAGCTTGGACCGCGTCAACCTGACAGCCAAGGAGCCGAACCAACTGAACCTGCGAAGCGGTGTGCGAGTCGGGCACTCGGCTTAGATGAGCAGTTGAAGCCAGCTGCCGCTTCGCAGCTCCCACAAATTGGAACGCTCTTGGCCAAACCGTTGGGTGCACCAACCCAACGCCCGTCCGAAATCCAGCCATCTTCAAAGGGAAACGGAACAAACGAACAACTTCTCCCATTTGAATTGTGGCCATTTGCCACTTTCACCGGGTACCTATGTACCTTGTGTATCTGCTGGGGCACATGTGGCACATGCACGCTTCTGATTGCACTGGCTTCTGTGAGTGTTCAAGATCACTCCCTCAGGGTTTCGTCAACATATTTGCTGAGAACCCCCCAACAAACCTCCAAACCACACCTGCACGTTTGTCTCCACGAACTACCGAAAAAGTATAAGTAGTTGGCCGGGGGGTGTTCCTGCGGTGTCGTTTGTTGTTTAGGAAAAAAACAACAGAAGGCAGCCTCGACGGGGGCTAGGACTCGCTGAGGGTCCTCAGCTCCTTGATGCCTGGTTCCCCGAACTGAGCAACAACTGTTTTAAATAAATGGCCTCTTGACCTTCTGCGCAGGTAGAAGGCTGGAAACACGCTCTTTCTTCCCATCCTGTTAAGGTATCATGCGCGGGTGTATTGGCCCGTGCGCATGGAGTATCGTCGTATATCGTCGTATCGGCCGCGTCTGGCATCAGCTAAGCCCTCGGGGCCGCACCCCTGGAGCTCCACGTCGAACATGAGCACAATGTTCCGCCCTCGGACTCCCATTCTGTGGATGGTTACGAAATCCGTTCGCACCACTTTGATACCATGGGAAACAATTATTTGCTGGTATTTACAGGGGAATGATCATTGCAGGGTCTCTTAGGTGGTGCATGATTTCGTCCATCCACGGTAGATCGATGGTCGATCGAACTCCGGCTCGATCAAACACATGCCGAGGGATTCGATCGAAGAAAGGAAACTGGTGGCGTCTGGGCTTGTTCTGCTCTTTTCTTTCTTTATTTCCTGTTTTTTTTTTTTTTTGGGGGGGGTGAAACAAAATGAGAAACCTGAGTTGGAAACAAAGTAGCCAATGTGTTTAAATCTGCGATAAATGATTACAACACACATAGTCTTTAAAACGAGGCGCTTGGACGAGCAACTCATACCTGTTTATTATAGGCAACGCTAAATTAAGGTAGACATCGCGCCACAATTTCGGTTGACAATCTCCAATGTCTGTGTTTGTTTGATAGAAAGTTGCTTTTCCCCACCCCCAAGGGCAATTGCCTCCATGTGCGAATACGTCCCCTGGCAAAAGATACCAAAACAAATCCAAGAGTGATAGATTCCTTTTAAACCCAGGGACAGATTCCAATCAAACCCAGGGGAAAATTGATCGATTTCCTTTACCCCAGGGATAGATTCCCTAAAACGCCAATCAAGTTGTTCAACATTGATAGATTCCCTTTCAACCCCACAGGAGATTCCCGAAGCCCAGGAACAAAAAACACTAAACCTTCAAAAAGTGATAGATTCCCTTGAGATTCCCTGTAGATTCTATTCCCTTTAACTCCCAAGATGTCAAACAAAATGGGTTCATTCCCTTTAAATTCCCTTTAAAACTCCGAACATGTCAAACAAAATGGATACATTCCCTTGAATTCCCTTTAATTCCCTGAAAGAATGTATTCTGAATCCTGAAATTCCCTATAGATTCCCTTCTATTGAAAGGGGGTTTCCTCCCGGGAAGCTCCTCAACGCCAACTTCTCGCCGAGTCGCCTCCGGGGCCAGACCTGGCACCCAACTGCTTCCTCACCTCGGATCCAGTCGACTCGTTGGGGGGTTCCTGGAGTCTCCTTCTCCTTCTGGCCCTTTAAAAATGGGTCGTTACCCAAAATAAAGGGGTCATGAAGACTCCAGGTTGGTCTTTTTGGAGGTCGGTACCCCCTTCTTTGGTGGTTTCAGCGGAAAACCGAGAAAGAACACCAGTATTTTGAGGGCCCCTATTGAACATATGTGTGTTTGTCTTCGGCTTTCTGCGCACGCAGTTTGATTTCCAGCTAGTGTTGACGTCAGAAGAACCCTTCATCCCCGCAGGCTCCAGCGAAGAACCCCGTTTGCCCTTTCGTTCCACCCTGGTCCCCCCTTCAGAAGGCCTTTTTTTGCAGAAAAAAAAGGTCAGATCCAGTTACTGAAATCATCTGACAGGTCTACGTTCTTAAAAACCCGAGCTCGTGAACTTTCATTGGGACCCCTTGAAGTGGACAAATAGAGCTGGTGACAAAAGGCTTTGTACTTTGAAGGGACTGTCCCGATTTTCAACTCATAGACACACAAGGAATTGTTGATCTACTGTTTGCATAAGTTCTCTAGGGGGTAAGTTCCGGTCATACAAAAACCCACAGCACTTAGGCTAAAACACGGTAAAACTCTACGGGTATTTCAATGACGAAGCGAGCAGTAGAATATGTTTGGGCGTGTCCTTTTGTGAGTACCTTGTCTGGGATGTCTTAAAAGGCAACCCGGGAGAAAATCAACAATTACACGTGGTTCCATTCATAGGTCAAGGCACGCCAGCATGTCATATGCCTCTCTAATTGCGCATCTATCGTTCCTTCCCATTTATCTCTCTATCCACTTACCCATCTATCTGTCTGTCTGTCTGTCTGTCTATCTATCTATCTATCTGTCTATCTGTCTATCTATCTATCTATTCTATCTTTCTGCCATGAGCTACTAAACATCAGAAAAAGGAGGAACACGGATTTGCACGGGAAGACCTGGTTTTGCAAGATTGTCGTTTTGCGTACGAGCGGTTGCGGTGTTTGTGCGGAAAAAAAGGTGCTTTTTGTTGGTGTTTTTAGTAGTGGAGGGCCACGCCCCGCAAATAAATTGCTTCATACATACCCCCCACCCTACATTTTTTTTCATCTTCCATCTTCTACCCTTATTTGTTTTCATCATTTTTCTACATTCCTTTCTGTCCATCTCATCCGTTTTTTATCATCATTTTTCCAAAATTTTAGCCATCCTTTTCTCCTTTCTCCTCGCCTCATTCATTTCACCAACTACCCTCCAAAATGTCATTTCCTCAATCTCCTCACCTCATCCATTTCAAAAAAATAAATTTTGCAAAATATATTGCAAAAAATATTTGTCATCAAAAAAATATTCGAACTGTCTAAAAACGATTTGTCCATTTCCCGGACAAAAAATAGAACAGCAACAACATCACTCCCTCCTTCGTTTCATCAGTTTCATCATATATTTTTTTTGGGCGTGGTCCTCCTTGTAGGATTTAAGGGTGATTTTCTGGGAACCGCCTACCCGCACCGCGCTTCGTGAACTTCCTCTACAAGATGCTGTGAGTGCTCCATCTAGTGTCGGTGTCTTGAGTGGACGCAGTTGGTGGGTATGGCTTATGCATTGGATTGGAACAACACATAATTACCGTAGCATCTGTTTTGTCCAAGTGTTGTCCCAACATCCTTCACTTAGCTTCATGGCTTCATCAGCTTCGCTGGTCTTTGTTCACAATGACTTCACGCACACTTTCAAAATCTTCAAGGTGAAGGGATGCGCCACAATCAACACAGAGGGCAAGAGCTTCCATCCTCTCACTGCTGGAGACCTTGACGGACTCAACAAGCAGACGCTTCAGAAGTTCGTTTCAGACTGTGCCCACACCTTGTCTTCGCGATTGTCTCGCTCTGATATGGTCAACCACTGCTTGACGAATTGGAAGTTGCTTCTGGAGAACTATGGCACTATGAGCCATCTTCGTGCACCAGAAGCGCCAGCCCCACCAATGACGACAGAGGCTCAGGAGGAGTCAGAGGAAGAGGCTCAGGAGGAGCCAGGGGAAGAGGCTCAGGAGGAGCCAGGGGAAGAGGCTCAGGAGGAGTCAGAGGAAGAGGCTCAGGAGGAGGAGTCAAAGGAAGAGGCTCAGGAGGAGCCAGGGGAAGAGGCTCAGGAGGAGTCAGAGGAAGAGGCTCAGGAGGAGGAGTCAAAGGAAGAGGCTCAGGAGGAGGAGTCAGAGGAAGAGGCTCAGGAGGAGGAGTCAAAGGAAGAGGCTCAGGAGGAGGAGTCAGAGGAAGAGGCTCAGGAGGCAGAGGACAAAGTCAACCAAGAGAGTGACCCAGAGGTGGTGGAGAATCTCATCCAGCTCTTCGATGATGAAGCCCGCCACGACCAGGGCTACTTGAACGACTCTTGGGACTTGGACAGCGAGAAGATTGAGCTGATTCAGGTGGTCTTGAGAGAGCCATGCAAGGGTCGCAACATCTTTGAGCGCCCTTTCCGCCCAGCTATGACGGTTTTGGAGTTCAAGGAGTGGTTCGTGCAGAAGACGCAGGAGAAGCAGCATGGTCAGATGAACAAGCTTGAGCTTGACACGGCGGACTTCAAGCTGATGTCCAACTACCAAGAGTTGCAGGATGACCAGACATTGGAGAGCTATGCGCACTATGGCAACTTGGCAGTGGTCATCTGCTTCAAGCTCAAGGGCGGTGGGCTGGTGAGAAAGCATGTCTCCAAGCATCAGGCGCTCCAAGTGCTCAAAACCAAGGCGAAGGCTTTCGCCACCAAGGGAGATGAGACCTTTGACCTTCGCGCCTTCCCTGATGACTTCCAACGCTTTGTCACGGCTCAGAAGGATAAGCTGGAAGCAGTTCAGCTTATGGTTGGCGAAGGGCGAGACATAGTGAAGTTGGCATTGAGGAACGCCAATGACACCACCTTGATGGAGTTGAAGAACATGATGGAGAAAAAGTACGAAGGCAAGGATGACGCCAGCGAGAGCCGAATTGCCATTGCCACTACAATGCTCTTTCCTTCCTTGGAGACATTGGGCGCATCGGCAAAGGCTCTTGCCTCGGTGCATGGTGAGATGATGGCATACCTGATGGGCTGTTATGCCGAGAAATATCATTTCTTCCATGGTGCAGAGGCTCGTTTTGAGAACAAACGCTTTGCTTCTGACATCGTTGATGAGCAAAAGCGTCGGGTGATTTTGACCGATGCTGGAGCTCCTACTTCTGTGGAGCAGTCGCCAAATTGCGCTGCGATGTGATGAGCAAATTTTGAGGCTTCATTTGTGGTTGCTGGACAGCACGACCCTGTGAGCATTTTCTCTGGAAGGCATTCACCAGATGGCACGCGTGAAGAAAGTAGTTTTGACTGCCTGCATTTTGTGCTTGCCACTCTTTTGAATGAACTTTTTGGGGGTGTAGGCTACCACCTTTTCGGGGTGTAGGCTACCACCTTTTGGGGGTGTAGGCTACCACCTTTTGGGGGTGTAGGGGTGTAGGCTACCACCTTTTGGGGGTGTAGGGGTGTAGGCTACCACCTTTTGGGGGTGTAGGGGTGTAGGCTACCGCCTTTATCAAGTGTTTTTAGTTTGCTTCACCACGCGACTTGCCTCCGTGCAGGTATCTTCATCGCCGCCTTTGACTTCCAGACCGAGCCCTACGAGGTAAGGACTTGTTTGGGAGGGTTTTTGTTTTTCTGGGGCGGGGTATATATATATATATATAATATAAGGGGAAACTCTCGCCAATTGTTCCCTGCCCTGTTTGGCAATTGGCGAGAGTTTCCTGATGTATCTATATGAATATTGGTGTTTTAATTGCTTGATAAACTATGGATATTCCCCTTAAATCTATCATTTTCAAATTTTAGAATTCCCATTTTTTACTGTATTGTCGTTGGATGAACCTAGAAATTTCAAGTTTCAAGCCCAACCCCAAACTCAAAATCCTTAATCCGTCAAACTCATGAAAATGTCCAATATCAAACCACTAGGTATTTTATATAGGTCTTCCTGTTTATGAAATACTGGATTGTCTCCCCATTCTGCTTTGGTTTTTGATGGTAGCCGTTGTGCTGTTTCAATATGTTTATTATTAATCCTTTTTACATAATTCTCTAGGTTTCCAAGTTGTAATGTTATTCCATAGCCTAGTGCGTTTTCTGTAAGGCATTCCATACTTACAGTAATCAACATCTTTAAATTCAAACTCATCCATAAACTCCTGATGTTTTAATAATCCAGTTTGTGGATTTTCGATTACAAAATATTTAGGATTGAAATATTTGATAATCTCAATAGTTTTTAAGACAATACTATTTGCATATTCGATATTCCTAATTCCCCTAGTTTTTGCTATGCTGTATTCAGTGCATGGGGGACTACTCCAAATAAAATCAAAATGGTTTCTGTCAAACTGTTTGTAATCCCACTCCAAAATATCAGTGTTGATATCAGCATTTTTCAAGTCTAATGATATTACATTAAATCCAAGCGACTTTGCTATGGTTCCGACGCTTTTTGTTCCGCTAAATAATTCTAATAAATTCATTTATTAGAATTATTTAGATATTAATTATTCAAATAATACATATACTCCATCATCATGTTTTGTAATTTTATAAAACTCTAATGTTTGTTGCTTTGGTTGTTTGATTTTTCCTGTATTCAACATATCACAGTATTTCTTTTGCTTTGTAGGGTAATCGCCACTGGGTCTACCTATAGATTTTGCTTGAAATATCTTATCGATTTTCTCCTTCTCTTCGTTGCTTTGTTGTTCGCGTTCAACTGGTTTCATTTTGTCATCAATGGATTTAATCATATCATTTAAGTTTTTGATATTTTTACCAATTAATGTTATCTTCTTCATTAAATCATTAATAGTATAATTCTCATTTTCAGACATTACTATATATTTATTTAGATATTTATTTATTTAATTATATATTTATAAAGTGCATTTATGTTAAATCTACTCTTTAAATACTAACTTATGTCCCTGTTAAAACTAACATTAATCAAATGTTCGTTAGTTTCAATAACCATATCACCATCTGTTCTTTTCTGAATATTAAAATCTTTATCTGTTTTTTTATAAGAAAACATACATGGGACACAACTAACTTTAACTCCGCCTTTCTTATCTACTGTCAATTCATTTTTAAAATTCATTATGTGATTACATTTATCACATTTTATAGTCTTACTTTCGCCTAGTGATTTAACACTTTCTGCTGTTTCTTTCCGTGCTTCAATATCTGGTACTGGTCTTTCTTTGCTTTTACTCTTTTTCTTTTTTCCCATTTATATTAATATTTATATTTTTAATATATTGTATCAAAAACTTAATTAATTCTAAAATAAAATAACATATTTTTTACATCTATTATCAGTTATTAGTACTTGTTCTATATTCTCCATTTCATCTATTATATTAATATAATCTGTATAACTCCTTTTCATATTAAATAATAAGAAAAATTATTTTTCATTTCTGTCTTTCTTTTCTTGTAAAGTTTTTTCATTGTATCGTCTTTATTCCATCTATATTCTACAAATTTCTGATGATATTTTGAATTTAGATGTTTAAATAAATATTTGTCATCATAAGTTTTACCACAACTGCAATGGATAATAGTCATATAAATAATAAGATAAAATATTTATTTAATCTTATTATTTTCATGCATGATAGAATATTCGGAGGGCACAGCACTTGGGGTTTTCATTGCACACGCGAGCGAGATACAAACTAATTAGCTTCAATGCTTATTGATTGAAGTTGATGAAAGAGCCTGTTCCTTCTACGATAGACACCATTCATATCATAGCAATGCTTTCATACAATAAATAATATTAAATTATTTTCTATATATCTTTAATATCAATTATGACAGATGTTCCAATAATAAAACCAATAAACATAACTGAATATGAATTCAAGCAATCCAAATATGAGCACGTGCCAAAATTACCATTTAGAAGTATTATAGTTGCTTCTTCGACAGGCGGTAAGACTGTCCTTATTCAAAATTTAATATTGAATGTTTATAGAAATTCATTTGCAAGAATATTTATATTTTCACCCAGCGTCCATAACGACCCTACATTTACAGAAGTTAAAAAATATATCAGGGATGAATTGCACGTGGATGATGAAAAAGAACAAATTTATTTTGATAATTATAATCCAAGTGATTTAGAAAATGTAATTGAAAGACAGAAGAAAATAATTAATTATATGAAATCTAAAAAGATAAAGAAACTGCATTCAATATTAATCGTTATAGATGACCACGCAGACGACCCTAAATTTGTTAGATATAGTAAATTATTACATGGATTATTTACAAGAGGCAGGCACGATGCAGTAAGTGTGATTTGTTCAACACAAAAATACAATGTTTTAGCGCCTATCATTCGTTTAAATGCCAGTTCATTATATATTTTTAGGTTGAAAAATGCCAGTGAATTAATGAGTTTTATTGAAGAAAATAGCGCCATTGTTGATAAACAGCAATTATTAGATATGTATCATCAAGCCGTTAATTTTGCTCCATATTCTTTTTTCTACGTGAATATGAATTCAAAAGACATTAACAAAATGTTTCATATCAATTTTGAACAGGCATTTCAAATTACAAATGATGAATAAAGATATTCTAACTTAATATAATATAATAATATGCCAATGAAACTATGTAGATGTGGTGGATTGTATCGTAGAGGTAATTATAATTTTCATACTAATTCTTGGATACATAAACTTTATAAGGCATTGAAGAGGAGGGCAACGGACGAGGAATTATTAAGATTTCAAAATAATTTTGTTGATGAAGACGCTTCGCCAGAGGCTCGCGAGCTTCGCGACGATTTAATAGATGAAACAAATAGCACTGTTTCAACATCAACGCCAAAAAGTGAAAGAAGTTGTATAAGCAATTAATAATATTAATTATGTTTTAATATTATTAATTCAAAATAATGAATAGCTACAAAGGTTGAGAGCAGGTAATTTATAATATATTTTATCTTTTTACATTCATTAACTTTTTCTAATTTATTGATTATTGCTTTCAATGAATTTATTTGTAGAATATCAATTCTTGACATTTCACTTATCGTATTTACATCTATATCTTTTATTACTTTAATAGCCTCTTCATCATCAATTTCTACTGGTTTTGATTTACTTGAACCCATTATATATAATATTATTTAGATTTTAATTTTTCAAAATTGAAATGTTGGTTTTCTTCTTCTTCTTCGTCTTCAGTTGGTGCTGGTATTTCTGTTGGACTTTCAGATGAAGAACTATGAACAGTAATAGGTGGAGAACTATGAACACTAATAGCTTCATTTGATGAATTGCTACTGCTACTTTGTGCATTTCCTGCTGTTATCTGATTAACTAAATCTGCAATATTTATTGTTGTTGCAATTGTGCTGTGTGATAAGTTTAATATTATATCTGCTACGGTAGCGCCGTTGTGTAGCATTATTTCTATCATTTTTGTCAGTTTGAACTTCTTTTCTTCTTCATCGCTGTCATCCTCGTCTGGTTTCTTTGGCGGTGGTTCTGGCGGTTTGTTGTTGTCGAGCATTTTAGTAAAGGCTGACACCATTGTGTCGCGTTGGTTTTTCAATGTTTGTGTTGCCTGTGTTCTTGTTGGCTCATTTCTTTTGTATGTGTTGTGCCAAAAGTTTTTAAGCATTATTTTAAACATATTGTCTTGGTTTTCCTTTACCTTAAACGCTTCGAATGTCATATTTAATTGTTGATTTGCATCATTGTATAACTTTTCTTGAGTCTCTCTGGTTTCTGTGGCGATTGTATCTGTGTTGGTTGCAATGTCAATAAATTCTCTCGGTATGCCCTTTTTCATCAATTTCGGTGGTTGTATTGTTGTTGAAGTGTTTGGTTTCATTAGGTTATGTATTGTAAAACTGTCGTCATCATATTTATCATTGAATTTCTGCTTCTTTCTTTTCAGTATATTTTTAGTTAATATTATCATTAAATATACTTATATTATTATTAACTTTCACCGCTTCCTGCTGCTCGACTTGGAGGTTTTGCCATCTTTTTGGTAGTTGCTCCTATTACTTGTTGGGGTTTGGCGATATATTTGTAATAAACTAAGTCGCCATACATTTGGGCGATTTGGTCTGTTATTGGTTTCTTTGTATCGCCTTTTGCGTTCTTATGAAGTCTTGCCAGATGTGAAAATTCTTCAAATTCCGATGCCTTAATTAGTTGT